AGCAACAAAACCTAGAATGTACACACTCACTGAGCACTTTATTAGATACAACTCTTTCTAACTACACTTTTTTTTGTCTATTTTATCAGTTCCACTGACCATATAGTAGCACTTTCTAGTTCTATCATCTCTGATGTTACATCTACAAGGTGAACCAACAAGGTAGGAGTGTCTAACAGAAGTGGACAGTGAGTGGACACTGTTTAAAAACTCCAGCAGCACTGCTGTGTCTGACTCACTCATACCAGCACAACAGTGCCACTGCAGTACTGAGAATGACCCACCACCCAAAAAATACTTGCTCTGTGGGGGTCCTGACTATTGAAAAACAGGGTAACAAAGTGTGCAGAGAAACAGATGGACTACAGTCTGTAACTGTAGAACTACAAACCATACATATATGGTAAGTGGAGCTATATGCATTACACTTGTATCTTCACTCATACATTGGGCGGTGGATCATTCTCAGCATTTAGGAATGAACCTCTTCAGTCACAAACTGTAATCCTGTAATCCATCTGTTTCTCTGTATACTTTGTTAGCTCCCTTTTACCCTGTTCTTCATTGGTCAGTACCCCCACAGAGCATGCATTATTTGGGTCGTGGATTATTCTCAGCCATTATTATAATTATAATTATAATGACTGAATGTAAAAAAGAAGCATCTCCCTCTGGTTTGCAGCCAGAGTGTCTACTTTTTGAAGTAGAATTTGAAGTGTTTCTGAAATTAAGAAGCAATTTTGTACATAGCACTGTAATTCTCTGCATACAAAATACGTTTGTCTTTGTATATACACTTATCTTTATCTTTTTTTTCTCAAATATTGTGGTGAAAGGCCAAACACTTTGTCCTACGGGTGTTTGGAATTGGCTTTACATTTAGTCACATTTGAATGGTCTTCATTTGTAGTGAATTCACAAGTATACCTTGAAATCTTCTCTGTATTGGAGGCTCCCAAGTCGTTCTTGCCCATGATGGTCCACCATCTAAATCATATCATAAATATACTGTTAACACAGTGAACATTACTATTTTAGAGCAACTGTTTAAATTAGGTTCAAAATAAACTTTTTCTACCACTGATTAAGTCTTGTGCCACAGCCATTGAGTGTGATGTGTCTGGTAGTTCATTTTCTGCAAGCCAGACATTAACATACATTGGGTAACTTTTAACGGTAAAAAGCAACAGATGCAACCAAATTGCTGTATATGCGTATTTGCCAGCTATGCACCCAGTGTGCCCCTGCCCTGCATTTTTGTTGTAGTTTTCCCTGCTATAACAAACCTGGGAACATATTCACAAAGCATCTCAGAGCAGGAGTGCTGATCTAGGATCTGTTTCTGTTAGTAAAATCATAAGACATGAACTTGGTCCTAAACCAGCACTCCTACTCTTAGAAATGTTGTGAACATGGGTGATTTCAACAAATTAGCTTAGTATCTTATGACTTAAAGTGGCCGTGGTAGAGCCGGGATAACTTTGGATTGTCGAAGACACAGGAGCTCCAGGGGATTAATTTATAAAGCCCAGAGTGAGCAATGCATTCCCCTATGCATTCCTCTATGCATTCCTCATAGAGTGTCTATGAATTCCTCTGCTATTAGACTGGTATGACTTTGGGTTTAAGTTAACTGAGTAATACTGCTTTGAGAAATACAAATTTGAGAACTACTTAGTTATTGGATCAGTTTTACTATCAATCAAATCTGGTGCCAGGGTGGGAGCGCTATGGGGTGTGAGGGTCAGTGTTTGGCTTTGTCTATTTGGGCATATGACAATAATATGTAAAAGTGAAACTTCAAAAAAAGAAAATTATAGAACTCGAACTGTCATGCATGTTGGTTTACTGTTTTATGTTAGGATTTTGCAATGACGATCGATTCTGGTTTTTCTGTACACGGGATGGTAGCTGGAGGGTGTGGGAAGCTTAGCTTGTTTCTGTACAACTGCTTGAGACATAAATATAAAATTATCTGATGAAATGGGAAATGTTCAATGTTCAAAATACACTGTCTTGATCCTAACAAGCTTTAGCAGCGTTAAATCACGTCTGCTCCTCTCAACTAAAGCGCTGTTACAGCGCTCAAAAAGTCATATTTAAGTATTAGTGCATTCCCAAGCAACGAAAGTGAAAGAAAGAAGTGGGTTCATGCAAGTTACAGCCCTGATTTAAACGAAAGTAAATTGAGGAAGCTGTGAGGCATTGAAGAGCGGGAGAGCACTATCTTTCCAGGCTAGCTGTTTTTAGCAGCTGGCTAACTTGAAGCTGCGCTCCGTCACTCGCACAACATGGCAAATTGATATTACTGTAGATCAAATAAGACACAAAAGCACCGCTTTCAGTTTAAACATACCTAAAAGGAGGACTCTGTTTGTCTGGTGTTAGATATATTGCGGTTCACCCCTTAAACTACTACGATAGAATAGACAAATCCAGACGTCTGTCTGATAAAAACAGCTTACCAGAAACTTTCTCCCACTCTCCCATGATAGATTTGTGAAATGTTCCACTGTTTGGTGAGTGTTTGTCATATTCCATTAAAGATAGTTTAAAACAGCAATTAACCACCCAGGAGCAAAAATCAGCCTTCAAACTTGAAAGAAATACTGATTTGACATTTATCGTGATAGGTATCGATGAATATGAATTTTGTTTATCGTGATAACATTTTTGGCCATATAGCCCAGCTCTACTGCCACACCTTCATCTGTCTTTTGACAGAAAAATCTTGCCTTTTAAGCACATTATTGCAAGTTATGGAATAATCAGTTCGGTCTGGCCTATTCTGAAACAGAGGACCACAAATTTGTCAGTTATGCTCTGATTGTGACCAAAATCGATTTGTATATTGATAATAATCAGTTAAGGAAACGTATGACATTTGGCTTGATTCTGCTTATGTTAGCTCTTACAATGTTCAGTTTACTGCCAAAAATCTAAAATGTAATTATTCCTGTCTAAGAATAAAAGAAAAAACATGAAAATTGTTTCAAATTATGCATCTTGAGAATTGTCACTTTGCAAATATGTGTAGGTTGTACTGTACAGGAAATCCTATGATTTGATTTCAGCAAATTTTGGTCAGAGCAACAAGTGTTTCATTTTTCTCTGGACACCAGAGAGAACCAAATCAGTAACTGCAAATGTCACTGTTAAAATATACATGGAAAGCGTTACTGTATGTCTTTAAGCGAAGAGCATTTCTGAATGTTATGCTTTCCACTGAGCCTAACAATTTTGCAAATACAACTCTTAAAAAACTTTCAGTAATTGCACAGTTGAAAAAAGATGGAGAATAGACATTTTCTTACTAATTTTAGTTTAAACTTTAATTTAGTTTAAATCAATTTCATTATCCTTAAAACAATCTAAATTATTAAAAATATCATGACTATTAAGCATAGTGTGGCTGAAGATTTGAATAAATTGATGTGAACTGGCTTATTCTGCTATAAAAGGCTAAAAATACATAAATAATTGTCTGATTATAACCAAATTTGACACAAATATAAAAATTACAAACTGACAGTATATTATGATTTCAATTGGAATTATACTACTCAATAGTAATTGCAAGGTGGGAACTAATTCCCAAAATGGTGCTTGGTTCCTTATTGCTCTGTACCAACAAATTGTCTCAAAAAACAGGCTGCTGTGGGCCTCCTGTAGCTCACCATGAAAACATCTGCCTTTGAAGATCAAAGTTGTGGGTTTGATTCCCTGTCAAAGATGTTGCATGGTGCTGTAGCAATTGTTGTGAACACACACTTAATTATCTTAAGGAAGGGTCTTTCTTAAAAATCCAACGATTTGCTGCCTTCTATGACCAGAGACATGAATTTGTTTATGCTGCTACTTTTCCTAAAATGGTGCGTGGTTCCTTGTTGCTTCATTTCAATAAATTGTTTCAAAAGCTGTTTTTGCAGCTGTGCCACAGATGTCTTGTGGCTCATCATGAGAGCCTCCACCTTTGAACTCTAGGGTCATGGATTCGAATCCCTGTCATGGATGTTAAACTGAGTTGCATAGATTGTAGCAGATGTACCACCTAGTGGTCTTAATCATAAGGAAAGAAGATCTTTCTTCAACATCTCCTGCATTCCACGACCAGAGACCACTACTTTACTCCTACTAGAAACTGTCAAACACTAAATAATCATGAAGCTGAAGCACGAATTTTTCCCGTTCCACCTTAAACAGTGCAGCAGTTACATTCTGGCGCTTCAGGCACCATTTCAGGTGGAACGGAAAAATTCTAACAGAAAAAAACAATACTGATGCAATGCAGTTTTATATGGACAAAAAAATCTTTTCAGTGGGATAGTGAAGAGAAGTAAAATTCTTTGGCTATGGGGAGAAAAGGTAAATCTTGCTCAAATGAGGAGAGTGTCAAAGCCAGTGGGTCGATTCATAAGGAGCTTGGAGGAAGAACCAAAATTTGTCCCAATGTATGCAAGTTATATTGAGAAATGAAAGTGAAGATCACTTGATGTGCTTTGTTGACAGAAAGAGGGAGAGAGAGAGAAAGAGGGATGAGAGAAACACAGCAATAATTAGGATTGAAATGTAACCATATAAAAGTATTTGCAATACGTATTTAGAATAAAGAAGTATCTGTATTCAGACCAGGTTATAATTTGTAAAGGCAGTATTCTGAAATCTTTTCAATTCTTTTAAAAGGTTTAGCCACTAAATTTAAAAATATATCCCAAAAACAGTGTCTTTAAAACCCTTACGTTCCTGCTAAAGCCTGAGTAGACTGATAAATTACTGTGGTTAGCCAGTTATTAATTTCAGTGTTACTAAACTCCTTTGAGGAATGACTGAATCTTCTCACTACTGAACATGTTCACAAGTGGTAAGCTTACCACTACCACAACAGCTATGACAAACCAAGAACCAATAAAACAACCACACTTAGAAGTACTTGGGTGCTGTTGCACCATTAATGAAAGCCTCTCTTTTTATGCCGGTAAAAACGTAAGATACGTAAGTAATAACCATTTAAATATTTATTAATGTACGTAAATCAACAGCCTGTGTTAACAATGCCATTATATTTCCTATGACCAGCATAAGGAATAAGCTACCTCTGACTTCAATTTCAATTAACAAAAAAAAAAACAAACAAACAGTACTAAGTCCTTAGTTAGACAATGGATGTTCAATCCATATCAATATCCAGTGTCAATGAAAATACAGACTCTTTATTCAACTATGAGCTATCATATATTAACACATTTTCACAGCTAAACTTTTAGTTTAATTTAAAAGCATAATGAACAATCAATATATGAAGTAATGCCATAAAACATCACAAAATATATCACAGAATATCACCAAATGCATTGACTTTGTGGTTACATGAATGTGTTAACATTTTCAGCATCTTATTGGATCGGTGTTCTATCTTCAACTGAACGTTTCTTGGCAAAGAGATGATTTGGATCTCTGTTGCGCATACTGGGTTGGATCTTGAACATGGGAGGTCCCAGGGGCCAGCGAAAACTCTCCTGGCTATCTGTCCCAGCGTGGCCAGTACCAAAATCCATGGGGCATAGGTTCTTTTGCAGCAGCTGGAAAAGGGTGTCCATGTCAGGGCCCAGTCTTGCCACCAACCCTGACCGAACTACCCCCACTATTTCCTCCTCACACTTCATCAAGCTCTGCAGCAGGGTACTGTAGTACCTATCATATAGAGATGTTGAGCCATTACACATCACTCGTGATTACAATATACTTAAATGTACATTTCTTCTATTACAAGGTTGGGAGAGTTACTTCAAAAATGTGTTCTAACTTAATGTCTCTGATTACTTTCTGTTACTTTTAGATTTCTTGTCTTTGTAAAATCTTATTTTCAGATCAACAAGATGATTTTTACTATGATACGAACAGGAAAGTTGCATTGTTTTAGCAAACAAACAAACATAGGCAATATAGAGTTTACGGTATGATGGACACCATGAAGGGCAAGGTCCTGACTTCGGATGAAGTTCCTGGGTGAAAGAGGGCATACTGGATGCCACCCCAAAAGCAGGCTGAAACACATTCAGATGATGCTGAAGGAAGGCATCATTGAAATGTTCTTGCCCACCTGGATATCATCTGTGGTCTTGATGCAGAAGAAAGACTCCTCCTTTAGATTTTGCATTGTCTATCATGGGCTAAATGCTAAGACTCACCATGATGCCACTGGTCCATGAAATCTTGAAAACCATGCAGGGTGCTTAAGTCGTCAGCTCAGTGGACCTGCTGCAGTGGACGCTGGTGCTAAGAGGGAGGATTTGAGCTAAGAGGGAGGATTTGCTTCGTTCACCTTGACAACATCATTGTGTTCTCTCAGAGCCTATAACAATATCTGCGAGAAATGGAAGCTGTCTTCTGAAATCTCCATCAGGCCCATCTCACCCTAACCCAACTAAACTTCTCAGGCTACATGGTTTCTGCCAGAGGAGCTAAAGTAGATCCAGCCAAGGTTGATGCCATTACTCAGTATTCTCTCCCTGTTGACTTAAAGTCTCTCCAGAGGTTTCTGGGACTGGTGTGATGGTACCACAAATTCATTCCATATCTTTCAGATATCTTTGCCTCTCTAAACAATTTGTAGAGGAAGGATGTTCTCTGGGAATGGATAACCGCATGTCAAGATTGAAATGTTCAATGCAGACTCCACCCATGCTGGCTCAACCAAGCCCACATTACCCTTTTCAAGTGCATATTGAAGACAGTGACATTAGCTTGGGAGCTGTCCTCAACTAGTGGATTGATGGGGAGAAAAAGGTTTGCTTCCAGACCACTGAGGGGCCCAGACCACAGAGAAATTTAGGCATAGTTTAGGCCGTGGAGAAAAGCCACCATTATCTGGAGGGAGAGATGTTTAACATCTTTACTGACCATAGTGCTTTTGCGTGAACCTTCAATTATGTTAAAACATAATCTCTGCTCATAAGATGGACTTTGAGACTGCAGGCTTTCACCTTCAGAGTCCACTACAAGAGGGAGTGTTGTAATGTGGTCCCTGGTGCCTTGTCATGCACTCCTGTGCAAGCAACTGTGGTTGTCTGCACAGCCATTGCCAAGATCAAATGGGCTGATTTAGCGCCCACTTTGCAAGAAATTGGAAATGCTCAGCGGACCAATGCCCTGTGCAAAAAGGGCAAAGAGACACTCTTGGGAATCTGGGAAGTTGCAAGGTGGCCAACGATACAGAGAGATATACATCATGTCTGATCCTGTCACACCTGTCAAGAGTACAAAGTAACCAGCCTATGACCTGCTGGATTGATGCAATTTGCTGAAGTGAAAACACCAGGTCTGACAGTTCACACACCAGGTGATGTCCGACTTGTGCAAATCCTGGGGTGTGGCTCAGAAGGTGCCCACTGAAAGGGTGAACAGGACCCTTATGATAACCTAATTTGTGGGAAGCAGACACCCAGATTAGGCTCCCTGAATTTCACCTGGATATTTGTGAGACAACAAACATGGCTACTTGTCTGGCCCTGGGCCACAATCTCATAGGCTCACTAAAACACCTCTTTCACTGCATCCCTGCACCTGATTCCCCTGCATATAGTACCTTACAGTGCCAAAAACTGAGCTGAGGTAGAAAAACATGTAGGTGTAGCCAGACAAGCCAGGAATTAAAATGCACAATGCAGAGATGTACAATTTGAAGTAATCTGGTCTTGGTTAGAGCACATCCACTTTCTAAAGCAGCTAAAATCTTCTCTCATGAAACCTCATCTTATGCTTTATGTATAGCCATGAACATTCCTCTGCTGTGCATGTTTTTGAGAACCTAAACCAGAGAGACATGAAAGGGGGGAATCAGGAAGAAAAAAGTTGAGCTTGCACACAGGTGAGCCGTGTTGTGTGAACCTGCACACACGCCAGCCGAAGCTTAACCAGAGATGGCACTTCTGGACTGCTTTCATTTGCATTATCTGTCACATAAAAGGGGATACTTACTAAAAAAACAAGCTACTTGGGTGGGAATCTCCTCTGAACTGAAACTAGTGAATGGTTTATCAGGATACTAAAATGGTGGTTGACCTAGTTTATGCTTTTTTTGTGTTTATTTTGGCCATTTGGGTTTGTTGTATTTGTGGGCAAGTCCTCCCAAAGCGTTTTGTGCATTGCTGTGCTATACCTTACTTAAAGGTTTGACTTACTTAAGGTTTGAGTGTTTCAAACTAACAAGATGTTTGTTAAATGTTAAGTTAAATGTTAAAAACATGACAGCATTATCACTGCACAATGAGCAAGCAAGGTCATAATTTCAGTAACAAATACTACTAATAAATTGTATCTAATGTGCAGGTATGCCAGAGAAATCATCTTAGAGTCTGAAAAAAATGACAGAGTAGACAGGAATGCAATTTAGTTATTATGCTGAACTGATTTGGTCTACTCTGCCAGTATGGAATGACTATTGCCTAGCATGGCGGAGAACTTCACCTTGTTCAAACCAGGAACGTCATTGCTATCACAATAAGACTCCTAAGAATTCTACTGTTTAAATATAAGGCAACTTGATTTACTTGAACAACTGCTTAATTACGTAAATATTTTGTATTATTATTATTATTATTATTATTATTAGTTTTGTTGTTGTTGTTGTTGTTATTTAGGAACAATAATAAATAATTTATAAGAATAAATTATAAGTAACCCCAACAAAACCAAAGTGAAGCTATACACTGATTTCATGCTTAGGCTTCAACATGTATTTTCAGCTATAAAAATAAATAGCTAGTTATTTAACAAAATAAAATGAAACCATCTAATTTGAGTCAAAGCATTCATGAAAGAGTAACAGCTGTTTAAAAAAGAATGACAGGAAACAAACAAACAAAATAGGAACATAAAAGAGCAATGAAGTGATGAAAAATTTGAAAAAGTACTTAAGCAAAGGGGACTAAAGGGAACTTTTACTTAATTATTTTATGCAAGTATCAATACTTTTACCTGAGTATTTATTTAGGCTACTGTACCCCCCTCTGAACCTGATCAAGAACAGTGTCAGTGTTTGTTTTGATGCTGCTTCAGTAGTAGCCTCAGCAATATTTGTTAGCCAACATCTCTAAAGAACATCAGGCTGTTTCCACACCCAGTTCATTTTCTAAAGACCACACCACAGTTTATTTTTTTTTTTTTGTGATATTTTATCTCTTCCCTTTGGTATGGCTGATGGACTGTAAGGACTAAAGTGGTCTAAATTAAACACATGGGTGTTTGTTTATTGATCAGAAGTTTTGCAAGGATAAAAGCGCCCCGTTACTCTCACTTTCACCACCATGAAAACAGAACAGAGATGCTTATTGTCTATGTGTACACAAATTTACAATTTTGCAGGCAGTAAGTCTCTATATTCAAACACTGGCAGTGCTAAATTATTTGGCACCTCACTTGTTTTTTAATTTTTCAAAAATGAAAGTGAGTTTTAGCTAAAATATTTGATATATGCTTTTGATTTATTTAGTTAATTCTAAAAACACACATAGGCAAAAGAAAACAAAGAAAATCTTCATGTGCAGTTTTTATCAAGAAGATTGTTATACAACCCCATTTCCGAAAAAGTTGGGACACAGTGCAAAATGTAAATAAAAACAAAATGCAATGATGTGCAGATCATTTAAACATTGTTTCTTTGAAAATAGTACAAAGGCAATATATCAAATGTTGAAACTGAGAAATTTTATTGTTTTTTGAAAAATATATGCCCATTTTGAATTTGATGGCAACAACACAATCGAAAAAAGTTGGAATGGGGCAACAAAAGGCTGGTAAAGTTGTGTAATGCTAAAAAAAAAACCTGGTGGTTAATTGGCAACAGCTCAGTAACATCACTGGGTATGTAAAGAGCATCTAAGAGAGCCTGAGTCTTTCAGAAGTAAAGATGGGGAGGGGTTCACCACTCTGGAGAATCTGGAGAAATCTCTGTATGCAAGGGACAAGGCTGAAAACCAGTATTTGCTGGCCATGACCTTTGGGCACTCAGGCGGCACTACATTAAAAACAGACATGATTCTGTAGTGGAAATCACTGCATGGGCTCAGAAACACACTGTCTGTGTGTTTGTCGCTTAATAGTTTGTTGCTTCAGCCACAAATGCAAGTTCAAACTCTAAAAGGCAAAGAAGAAACCATACATAAACAGGAATCCAGAGATGCCGCCGCCTTCTCTGAGCCCTCATTTAGAAGGGACTGAATGGAAAAGTGTTCTGTCATCTGACAAATCAAAATATGAAATTCTTTTTGGAAATCATGGACACTGCATCCTCTGGGCTAATGACCACTCAGTTTGTTATCAGCGCACGGTTCAAAAGCCAGTATTCATGATGATATAGGGGTGCATTAGTGCACATGGCATGGGTGACTGTCACATCTGTGAAGGGACCATTAAGGCTGACTGAGATATACATGTTTTGGCAACATATACTGCCATCCAAATGATGTCTTTGTCAGAGAAGGCCTTGTTGGTTTCAGCAAGACAGTGTAAAACCATATTCTGCATGTGTTACAACTGCATTGCTCCTTATTAAAAGAGTCCGGGTGCTAAACTGGCCTGTCTGCAGTTCAGACCTATCACCACTGATAACATTTGGCACATTATGAAATGAAAAATACGACAAAGGAGACCTCAAACTGTTGAGCAGCTAAAATCTTATATCAAACAAGAACGGGAAAACATTTCATTTTCAAAACTACAGTAATTGGTCTCCTCAGTTCCCTATCGCTTACAGAGTGTTGTTAAGAGGTGATGAAACACAGTGGTAAACATGCCCCCGTCCCAATTTTTTTTTGGACTATGTTGGCATCAAATTGAAAAAGGGCATATATTTTTCAAAAAACAATAACATTTCTTAGTTTCAATGTTTGATATGTTGTCTTTGTAGTATTTTCAAAGAAGGGTTTATGTGATTTGCGCATCATTGCCTTTTGTTTTTATTTACATTTTGCACAGCGTCACAACCTTTTTGGAAATGGGATTGTATGTAGATAATGACCAGTCCTAATAATGTAATTTTGCTGAATAACATGTGATGGTGGTGGCTGGATAGGTGGCTGTACTGCACTTTGTAAGAAGTCCCTAATTCAATGTGTTTTCACATGTGCGCACCATGAACACCTTTTTTGGCCATATATATATTTTGTCCATAAAGAATCAAAATCTGGGCAAAAAGTACAGTATAAAAGGTATAAATATAATTTAACACAATATGCTGCAAGTTAATACAGCGCTATAAAGTCATTGTGAAATTTTAATATACCACAGGCATTAGAGAATAAAATGACATAATGGTTTCAAACTAATTTATTGGACTGGATTGTACACTATTACCTCACAATAGGATGCTAAATATCACTAAATTTTAACTTTTTTTTTAAGAGCATAACAGGTGAGCAAACAACACTGCAACACAAAGGTGCATATGTTATATGACTCATAACTGGATTGATTTGATTGCCTATAGGCCAATGGTGTGTTTTTCACAAATGTTGACGGAGACTACCGCTAGCACTATGCAAGAATGTGCTGTTGGGGTATATGGGTGGCAGTCAGTCAGCATATCAGTGATATATCCGATCAGCATGCTCAGGCTCAGGTCCTGGCTGTTTGTTGAGCAGCACACAAATTCAAATAGGGCTTCAGTATAATGGCATTCCTCACGCAGCTGCCTATGTGGCCTAGGACTGGCCCTGCTTCAAATAACTGATCATGTGCACTGCTGCTTTGTTCAAAGTGATGAATGAATGAAAACCTGCAAACACACCAGCCCTTTGTGGAAATGACTGAACACTCCTGCCTTATACTGAATATATATCAGAAATTCATGATGTTACTATTCATCTTAATGACATTGCTTTTCTTTATGCTTAAATAAGCATTAGATGTGTTGAAATAGCAAGTATATTTCATTATAGTAGGTATACTTTGTTTACCTAGTTTTATGTTTGCATAAAACTACACGTTATAAAACTGTATTCATGTTATTTAATGGCAATTTTTTTGTGTTTTGTTTACATAATACACACACTAGCCTTGGATGGTAGAAGTCCTTTTCTATCTCTGATATTATTTAATGGTATTTTAATCTTTACATATGGGACATGGAATAAGTTTGGTCTGAAATATAAAATATTCCCAAGCACCAGTGCCAAGAGATACTGACAGAATTGGACTTGATGTACCTGTTTGGAAAATGTCTGGGCACCTGGACAACTTCTCCAATAGCATCAGGGTTGGAGCGGGCCATTCCACAGATGCCCAGCTTGCTGTAGCATTCCTCTTGCACCTCAGTAATCATTTTTTGGAAGGTGGCACAGCGACGGATGGTCTGATAAACCTTGGAGGTGATGCCTTTGGTAATGCACTTAATGCTCTCCTTGACGAAGGTCTTGCCCTGTATGAGATTCAAATATATTTTTATAGGTTTTCTACCAATTTAAAACATAGGACTTCTCTCATACATGTAAATATTAGAATCCAGTAAGCACACTGAAATTTGCTTGAATATGCTTGAAATTCATTACCTCTGTGTTGAAAACTGTTGCTGTATTGATAAAGACGTTGCAGATGTCATGCATACCATCAGTATCACAGGTAGAATTTTCCAAGCAGGCAAATGCACTACAGCCCACTTGCAGAGCACTGCTCAGACAGCGGGCCACTTCAGCTAACAGGAAAAAAAGAAAATAAGAAAACAGTTTTAAGTAAATAAATAAAACAGTGGTGAGATGAAAAACTATGAATGAATAAAAAGCTGTACAAAATAAATTCACTTTAAATATATTGAAAATTCCATGAAATGCTTTGAACACTATCTAAGCAATCTATACAACATAGTTTGGAATCTAGATGGGAAACTTACATGGACTGCTGGCTGAGAAACGAGTTCGTCTCAGTTCAGGTTCATGCTTGTCTGTTTCAAAGGCAGACACAGCCAGGACAAAGAACACAAGAAATCCACTTTTTAGGAGCATTTTTACAGCTGTGACCAAGTGTTGCGGCCCTTGTTGAAGCTTTAATGGTAACCCTCTTCTTGTTTTAGGTGGATGGAAAAGTCCTATTTATACAGTTTACCAGTTTTAGGATAACGAATCATAAATCCTGAGATTTGGGCCCTAGTCCAATCAGAATCCAGTACTTCAGAGTAAAGTGAAGCCTGCATGGATCCTAAAACTTTCCATGCCTTCATAAATATTCATGATTCATGCTGATTTTATCTCACCAACAGCATGACAGCATGAGAGGACAGCATGTTAATGTTGCTAACACGGAATGAAAGTGAATACTGTAGCGCCACCGTGCCTGCACTGAGTGTGTTCAGATAATTTGCATACCCATTAGCCTCTGCGGCTTCTATAGTTTGGTGTTTAATGTCACTGTTTAGCCAGAATAAATGTTGCTTTTAAAAAGGCACTGTGTTAACCTGCTTGGTGCCCATGCTGGTGAGTGTCATACCAGCATGTTTACTTGTGTTTGTTAATGTTTACCATCAGCAGGAAACAGACAGGTTTTTGCCAATTACCATCCCTTTCCCCTTGCTTAGTCATCCTCTAGCTAGCCACCAAATATTACAGCTACATACCGTAAGTGTTGAGCTATACCAAGATGCCTCCCAATTCCACTTCTTTCTTGCAGATGCCGCAATACAATAGCCATCAGTTTAGATAGATATAGAACCCACTTCGCTGTCACCCAATGATGTACGGAGGCATTAAGCTGATGTCAAGAACATGACTGCAATGACAATACTATAGATTATTAGGTATTGTGCTATGAAACCTCTTGAAATTGTTATGATTTCTCTTCTTATTATTATTATTATTCTTTTTCTGCCTTAAAATGAATCATGCAGATCAAACTGTAAGTTGTATGCACATGAGACTTGGTTGGTAGATAGTAAACCCTCTCACAACTTAGGTGCACAAGTTCTGCCAGATCAACCAGGCAAAGCATTAAGAGTTTTGGGCCACATCTCCTGCCCTGTATGTCATAGAGACAAAATTATTTTGCCATTGATTACTTGTTTCATGGCCAACAAAAAAGCCTCAACAACCACATAGCTCTGGCCACAAAGATTCTGAGAAAATTTGCGTTTTATGCAAAACTGCACACATTTTTAGTGCAAATTAGTCCCCGAGCTTTTGACTGATCTGCACAAATCCGGTGTCAAAAGAATCCCAAGAGACTGAACTTTAATAATTATCAAAAAAAAAAAAGTCAGAATTTTATCAGAAGATTATCTGTAGTTTATCTGTAGATTATCTCAAGTCAAAGTTTATTTATACAGTGCTTTTTACAACAGCTGTTGTCATGAAGCAGCTTTACAGAAAAATCCGGGTCCAAGCCCCCATGAGCAAGCCAGTGGCAACAGTGGCAAGGAAAAACTTCCTAAAAAAAAGAGGAAGAAATCTTCAGTGGAGTCAAGACTCAAAAAGGGAACCCATCCTCCTCTGGTCAACACGGAATAGCAAAACAATAACACAAGCACAATATAAGCAGAGAATAAGGTTTTACCATTAGTACAAGTATAGGATATGGAAAAGGAGAAATGCAGGAGAAGCAATGGCTATAATTAAATAGTTCGAGTCTATGCATGCAGCAGTATCATCAGGAGGGTCTGTGGCGTGCAGTTGTGGTTTGCACAGCGTTGTTAAGCGTGATGGTTCATGATAAGGGATAAGTTCACTAAGGTACTAAGGGGTGAGGCCATTTAGAGGTTTATATGTCAGTAGAATTTTGTACTAGATGCAGAATTTAACTGGCAACCAGTGTAGGTTTGATAAAACTGGGCTGATATGGTCAAATTTTCTAGTTCTAGTAAGGACTGGCTGTTGAGGCCATTGATGGAACATCCAGACAGTAAAGCATTATAGTAATCCAACCTCGAGGTAATACATGCATGAACTAGCTTCCTTTTCTTGAAGAGATATTTCTTAATTTGGCAATATTGCGAAGATGGAGCACTAACCCCAACAATTGGGATAGTAACTAAGCACAAATTAACAATTTATAGAAGTTTCTGAAAATGTCATATAAAGTATTAATACTTAATTAATACCTTATAATTGAATCATTCACCAAAAAGACTAAAAAACTAAAATCTAATGTTGATATTCAGAAATTGTTTAAATATTACTTAAGGTAACAACTGAAATACTTGATAAAAGTGGTTACTTATGCTTGGAGTATTCCTGCCCTGCATGTTTTCGTATTTCCCTATTCCAACTATTTAGGCCTAGCTTCCCAAAAGATCTTGGAATTAAGATCATCTTAACTGGTAGAAATAATGTACACTGTAATACTCAATCTACTGTTTAACAATCATCTATGTGCAAAGATAAGTTAAGAACTTTTAGTAAAGGCTGAGATCTGTGGACAGGCTTCAGGTAGATGTTTGCTTTGTCTGGTCTCCAGTATGATGGTATTGTAGCACATCTAATATATTAGTTTCAATATTATATTTTATCTATATCATTTCTTTTGAAAGTATTACTTAGGCATTATTAATAATTATTGTGTTTCTGTGACCCTTATTATAAAGTTGTATATACATATCTCTTAAGAGCCACTTTGTAAGAACAATTGATTAATCCAGGAGATAAATTCAACACATTATGAAATGAACACTACCAATAAGTAGATAAAAAACAAGACATATTTTGTTTGTCTGTTATGCACAAACTGAAGATGAAGTCATTTTACTGCAGTATTTTTAAGTAGTTGGAAGCCAAAATGACCAAATTGGTTCAAGTAGCTTCCAATTAAACTGACTTGAGACAAATTCAAATTCAAAATGACCATTATCAGTAACTGGATCGTAAAATTAAAATCGACTGAATCAAATGAATTTTAACAATTATCCAAAAAATAAAAACAATATAATCACCAGATGGCTGTGGAAGATTATTTTATAACATAAAATCTAAAATATCTTTCAAAATTTGTTTAAGAAATAGATTAATTGAATCATAACTATTCATACAAGTGCTGTATGGCTTTAGCTGTGGATGAATAGTTGTTGCTGCCTGTGTGTGTCTGTGAGTGGCCTCGAGGTGTGGGGACAAGGAGGCCTTATCGCACACAGCTGGAGTCTGTCTATATCATAAAACATTAAAATTGTCATGGGGAAAAAAACACATGTAGCAGAAATAAATTAAAAACACAAGCAAATAAAGTTTGAAGGTTTAGGCTTGAATGTGACCTTGACTTGCAATAATAAAAAAAAAATTGTAAAATTGTCAGTTGCTCCTGGGCCAACTCAGATTATTGTTTGTTGCTGGAAAGGCTTCAATAAAACAGTTTGTGCCTTTTCCTGCCAATCCTTATGTTTTGAGTTTTATTTGAGTTCTGTGTCTGGAGCAAAGCTGCAGAGATATTTTTTTATCTTGCTCTAATGCTAACCACACACTAGAAGACTAAAAAAAGACTTTGAAAAGACTTTTGAATGACTAAAGTCTGACACCCTCTCACATCTTAAGACAATGTCAGAGTTTTTAGTCACAGAATATGATTTTGCAAAGACTGGGGATCTTGCAGAGCCACTATTTGCAATACTGCAACTAGGTTTTTGAGATTTCCCATCATGCACCTGGTGGAAATTTTACAAGAAGAGAAACGCTTCACTTCACTCTATAGTGGTACAAATGGGAAAATATGTTTACTGGGCATGTAAAGACCTGGGGCTCTGCCCAATTCACTGTAGAAATGTATATTCTGGCATATCATCACCCACTTTTTTATTTTTTTATTAACTGGTAAAATGTGCAGTTATTTTTTTATTTATTTTTATTTTATATAAAGATTTGCACATGAACAAAACATGCAGCGATTCAACATTGTTGGTTGGTGTTATGAACTAAAATAAAAAAAATAAAATAAACCATAAGAAACAAACAAAATAAATAACTGTCATGCATCCTTCCAGTCCTGACTCCCTGGTGGACAGGCTGACAAGACCGTGGCAGCAGTGCAGCTCCAGGATGCAGATGCGAGTGATGGCTATCATCCAGGCTGAAGCCTCACCAAACCAGCGAGCAGCACCCAAGTTTCCGCATCTGCGAGAAAATGGCAAACAAGAGAGATCCTAAAGAACAAAGCTACAGATGACAAAATGCCTCCAAGAAAGTTAACAGTGACACAGCAAACAATATATTTAGGAGCAAGTTCACAATCATAGCCTTCAACAAGCGACAGTGAAAAGGGCTGTAAGCATCAAATATCTGTGCAAAATGTTCCAAAGATTCAAAATGAAAGAGATGAGCAGTTTCACAACAAAGTAGTGAAACAAGAACACAGTTAGCGGACACTACAGAACCAATTCAGACTCAATTCAAGAGGAGCTGCAGAGAGGGCAGAGAGAACTGAGACCAGCAGTAAGAACAGACACGGGAGCTGAAGCCACCACCAGGCATCGATATTGAGCACAGGTCACTTAAGCTCCAACATACGTGGACATGGTCAGCCCCAAAGATGCCTCCACTGTAAGAGCAAGATGACACAGAGCATTATTTAACAATATTCAAGCAGATTGCACAAGCTGCAAGGTGGCCAAAAAAGACTGTGCTCTACACCTAGCACCACTGCTTAAAGGAAAGGCTAGAGCGGCAAATGTAGCCACAGACTCTGATGATGTATGTGAGTATGACAAAATCAAAGAAGCTGTCTTGAAAAAGTATGAGATAAATAAGAACACATATAGGCTGCGCTTCAGAGAGAACACAGTGCTTGAGGGGGAAACACCTAGAGAACTGTATACTAGACTGAAAAACCTGTCTGAAAAGTGGATGATGCGAAGAGAAAAGACCAAGGAGGAGATCGGAGATTAAATGGTTCCTTGAAATGGTCAACCCGGAGCTGAGAAGCTGGATTATTGAACACAGCCTGAAGTCATAGAACTAGGCAGTGGAAATGGCTGAGTCATTCATGGAAATGGTCCCAGCACCAGCGAGTTTGGGAGGTCAGGTGGCATTGGTCCTAAGCAGCAGGATAGTTTTACAGTCACTCAAGGCTACTGGGCAAAAGAGAGTTTCAGAAACAGCATGTTTAGAGATTATTGGTCAAATTTACCTCCTGAATGGAGGGGTCTGCAGAAGCCGCCATTTGCATTTCTTCTGGGTAGAGATATTCCAATTTTGGTAGACCTTCTTAACTCATCAAATGTATTGCATGTAGGCAAGGCTATGGTTGTTACTAGGCAACAAACTAGGCTTAGAGAGTCAGCATAGTGGTTAAACACACTAAATGACTTACTGTTTGCAGGGAAGCCTAGGAAGGAAAAGTAAAGAAAAGAAAAAAGGTGAGAAAAAGTGAAAGGCACTAAAATTGAGGAACAGCTAAAACCACCAGAGAGTAATGACATGTTATCATGTCTTGGTGTTACCAAGTAATATTTGTGAGCTGCAGAGGCAGGATGAAACACTCATTCTATTGTTTGCCAGGTGCACAAAAGACAAGTTAAAGGTAGGCAAAGGGAAGATTGTTCTGAAAGAAAATAAGCTGTACAGAATTAAAGAGCAATTCAAACAACTAGTGGTACCTAAATGCCTTCGACGTGATGTAATGAAGTTGGCACACTCAAACTCTTGGACAGGTCACAGCTAACAGGTTTTACTGGCCAGGAAAGTTTGTGGATGTAGTTTTTGTAAATCATGCCCATAATGTCAGCTGATGGCCCATAGACAAAAGTCTGACAAAGCTGCTTTAATAAATATGCCAATCATAGATGTGCCATTTACAAGAATTGCTAAGTAAAGACACGCCAGATTGTAAACGCACTGATACAACTTATTTCAAGAGTAGGCATTCCAAGTGAAGTACTTACTGAGCAAGGCACCAACTTCACACCGACAGATTACGGAAGTAAGGAAGTGTTTATTCTATTGGCCATTAGGGGAATACAGACCACGTCATACATACTCGGTACATGACAGAGACAGGAGCAGACTGCGACACATGGCTCCCCTTTGCATGTAGGGAGGTTCCCAAGTCCTCAACAGCATTTTCACAGTTCAAGTTACTTTTTTGGAAGGTGCATGGGCCACTAAACATGCTGAAAGAGGCATGGGAAGGAGACAACACAAGCATATGACAAAATGGAGGAGGCACAGGTGACACAGAAAAGGCGGTATGACAGAGCAACCAGAAGTAGGGAACTAACACCTCGTCAGAAAGTGCTCATTTTGCTGCCCACATCAGAAACAAGTCTAATGGCAAAATGGCAAGGACCATGTGAGGTGCAGCGGAGGTTAAGACCCACCGCATATAAACTGCCGACACTTGCTTGCCTTTAACAGGTCTAAACCAAAATTACCAGCCAGGCCACAAATTTTGTTTTAGACATTATGATTAATCCAGTGACATGGTGGCAGGCCTTTTTCTGGGCTGTCACTGGAATTTTTTTCAGACTTCATTTTGAAGTGAAAACAGAACATGTGTTTGGCACATGGCTGGCATTGCATGGTTAAACAATGTGAGCCTATTGAATCAAACTTGATCTTAAATTCAAAATGATGGGAATACCTCAAGAAGGGCATCCTTGATGTGCTGGATCTTCATTTTTGCAGCCCCTCCTCTTGATGACACTATGTTCATAAGCTTTGGGGAGTAATGATCAAGCTTTGCCATGAATGTTGATTCAAAACTGATTGTAGTAATTCTCTTGAATTCTTCACTTATCTATAACACACAAAATAAAATTATGTTTTAATTTAACCCTAAACATATAAGCTATTCCAGTGGGTCTCCACTCTGGTCCTGGAGTACACCCTGCCTTGATTTTTTTTTGTGTGTTTTTCCTCCAGAGAAACGCTACAATCTGCATGATACTAATAAGGGATAAGGAGTAATTTAGGACTAGGTTTGAGATCATGAGAAGCAGTTCATCATTCATTCACTGGCACTGCATCAAAAAGGTCAGGCCAGTGTTCCAAAGCACCAACAAGTGGGGCTAGGTTGACAACTTCCTGCCTGCAAATGGACAAGGTCTTTGCCATTTTCTCACTGATGATATAATTGTTGTCATGCGCTCGCTTCCTTTTGAAAGAGTTCACTTCAAGCTCTGGACATTTAAGTGTTCTAAGGCAAGGATGCTTTTGGATTAGTGCTTTTGCCACATGGTTTAACTGCACATTTGTAGGATAGGCAATATACTGAAAGATGGTTTCAGCTAATTTCTCAAGGATGTCAGGAAGAATCACTGTTGGACTGAGCAGAATTCCTTCTCTCTTGAAAGCATAGTGAGGTATTGGAAATTCCACTGGACAACACTGAGAGCGGTGTGTCATATGTTCAGGTGAAGAGAGAATCACTGTATCTTGGGATCCAGATGAGCAACTATCATAGAAAGGAGAAATTGAGCTTTCTGTTGCACTTGTGGCAGAGGTGCCCACATCAGTCAAGGTCAAAGTGACCATGGGGGGTTCAACAGCATGCACCACCCTAATTGTGTCTTTGTCCATGAGGTCACTTGTTGAAGCTAGAGAAAAGTACTCCTCTCCAAAATCACCCTCAATCTGGAATGTCTCTCACACAGCAGCACGAAGTTCATCCTCTGTCTCAGGGATTCCAGAAGGTAATTCTAGTTTCCGAATGTTGTGGTCCTGAATTATGATTAGCAGGCTGAGACATTGCAGCATCAAACTGGAAAAACATTACTTTGGTTTACCATCAATATTTCACATACACACACAGAGTACTGTTGAAAATTCTTAGGCAGCCAAGTTTTTTTTTTTTTTTCTCAGCAGTGAGCTTTGCCAGTAAAAAACATTACATAATAATTGAATAAATAAAAATAAACAAATACAGTAATAAGAAGTATTTCCTATTTTCAGTAAAATTACTAGTATATTGGTTAGAAGAACAGTAGAAAGAACAGTTCAGCCACTGTATGAATTTGTTAAATTCCATCAGTAATACACCTGATTAAATTTAATGAAGGACTGATTAGATGAACTAGGTATTGGGTGGTAACTTTATATACTGGACTTCCTCCAGGAGAGCTTCAGTTAAGCTAACACATTGATATAAAATCACTATATTGTTTATTTGTATTTATATGAATGGTAGCATTTTTCAATCAATTTACTGCCTCGATAAATGGTTTTACAAAGAATTTTCTTAAATGTCTAAGACTTTCACTGTACTGTATACATTACTGTAAACAACAGATACAAAAACAAATACATTGTGAAACCAACACTCAAAATAGGTCATCCACTTGCAATGCTTTACCATCATTAATGTCAGTTAATTTCTTAAGCTGGTTAATTTTTATTGTTGGTTCACTTCTATTTTTAAGTCAGGTAGTGTTACACCTAACACTTGGTTTTGCTGAACCCACCACAAAATACAGAGGTCTGGTCTGAATGTCTGTTTCTAGTTCAACTAGCAGGCTCGTTTGTATTTTCTAGAAGAAAAGGAGACTTGTAGAGGCCAACTGCATGAGTTCATGAGCCAACTGCAAGAGCAGCAATACACTGTGTACACAATTATTAGGCAAGTGAGTATTTTGACCATATCATCATTTCTATGCATATTTTCCGACTCCAAGCTGTATAAACTTGAATGCTTACAGGATTTAAGCATATCAGGTGATGTGTATTTGAGTAATAAGGGAGGGTGTGCCTAAGGAGATCAAGACCCTATATCAAGGTGTGCACAATTACTAGGCAGCTTCTTTTTCTCAGGCACTATGGGCCAAAAAAGAGATTTAACTGACTCTGAAAAGTCAAAAATTGCAAAAAGTCTTTCAGAGGGATGAGGCACTCTTGAAATTGCTAAGATATTGGGACGTGATCATAGAACCATCAAACGTTTTGTTGCAAATAGTCAACGGAGTCACAAGAAACGTTTTGAGAAATAAAGACGCAAATTAACTGCCAAAGATTTCAGAAGAATCAAACGTGAAGTGACCAGGAACCCATTATCCTCCAGTGCTGTCATATTCCAGAACTGCAACCTACCTGGAGTGCCCAGAAGTACAAGGTGTTCAGTGCTCAGAGACTTGGCCAAGGTAAGGAAGGCTGAAACCCGACCACCACTAAATAAGATACATAAG